ACTTTACATACTTAACCATGATACCTTGAAACGGATTTCTATATGTCATCCAGCATTAAATACGACTTACAAAGATTGATATGCAAATGCATGAACGTACGAGCACTGAATCCCAACGATAAGCATCACATCGATAATATTTCAGTAAATGCTTATATAATAATATATTACTAAAGCTCGAGACCGACTGCAAAGGGCTCGTTATAGGTCGAAGATGTTCAATTATTATTGGCCTAAAAAGTTATTCAAAAATCTACTGACCTACGGCCAGATTCTTGTACTTCAAAGGAAGAGGTATAATGTTGTGATGGAATATTTGCATACATACACCTATTTAACTATATATATATATATATACATAACTGTATATACTGTCAGGAAAAACCTAAAATTCTCTCCACGGGCTTCGTCGAAACAGCTATATATGGTAATAGGTATTAAAATATTAAGTCGTTTGGCCGAGGTTAGCTAGTAGCTATACACTATTGCTATTTCGCAGTGGAGTCCACAGGGGGGGCTAAAGGGCTAAAGCCCCCCATTTCCAGTATTATTATTACTTTTTCAAAAAAATATTAATCAAGTCAACTATAGTAGGCAAGACGTAAATTTCATATATGTCTTACCAGAATGAATTCATTTTTGAAAAAACATTGTATTTGCATACCAATTTTCATAAATAATCTGTAATTTTTCGGTAAAAGTATGAACTACTTGTATGAAAGACCTTGTATTAAATTGTCTAGCCTTAGCTATATATATTTTATATTTTATAAGTTTTGAACTACAAATTAACTGTGGTTTTGATGAAATTTGAACTTTGAATGCTTATAAAAAATAACCATGATGCCTATGTATCGTTAATATTTTAGCTATAATAAAAACACTTACGTATTAAATTTTTAAGCTTTTTGACCAGATAAATAATTTTTTATTGACATTTATAGAAAAAAATAATTTAATTATTCAAATACAATCCAAGTGAAGACCGTATAAATAAACATTTAAATACATTTTCATTTAATTTCTCCAATTATTTTTAAACTAAGCATTTTCAATTTTGTCCTCCTAAAAGTACCAACTAGATCCAATTTGCTTCCAAAAACATACATTGGGCATCGAGACTTATGATCAGAGCATTTTTTCTACCAGAAAAGTTGAAAAGTTACAAACATTTTAAAATACCTCAAATAAACGTCTGAAATTATTAGACTAGACAAAATAAAAATAAAATTGTAACTAATTTTCAAGCCCCCCCCCCCCCCCCCATTGAAAAATCCTGCGGACGCCACTGCTATGTCGTACGAAATGGCTGTGATAGGGTAATGCCTATATATATATATATATATGACAATATACACTGTGCTTTAACCAGTGCCATTATCATTATGTAGGTATACTGAGTGGATTTCGTATACCTACCTATATACGACTATATTTGGACTAAAATATATGTTAGTCGAAAAAGCGTGTTAGGGTTGCACCGTAGGTAATTACATTTGCTTCAAAGTGATCCACGTGATGTATAATATAAGAGCCGGGCGAAAATTTCGCCGTGGGAAAATGTCCGCTCGAGTCCGATACAATAACGATATAATATAATAGGTGTCCCATGAAGATTTATTAATAAGTGTTGAGAGCATATATATATATTATACTCCTGCAGTGGACTCGGCGCCACTGTACTCCACAGTCTACATACACAACTATAATACACTTCCTTTTCCCATTGAATTAGTAAATCTTCGCTGGTTATCCTGAGTATACCTATTATATACTGAGCACAGGGAGAGAGGGAGAGCCATACATTTTCAACTATCTGTGTAGTAATTTTCCAACTGTAAAACCTTAATTTTTCTCGTTTTTGTTGCAAATCTCTATTCGATATACTTTTACTATTCGCACGACCGCATATCACTCACGACCATAATATATTATAATGATTATTGATTAGTCACCTATAATGGCCGCTGTTAAAATTGGATTTAAAAAATATAAATTTGCTACGGAAATATAATATATTATATCTATACCAACATTAATTTATTTATTGGGCGTTAATTTACTAATAATACTTCGTTTCTAGAACTTTATAGTGCATAATATGTTGTGCATAATATGGATATTAATAAATCATTTTAAATGTTGAGTTAACAAATTGACGAGGTAGGTACGATTTTAATGCAAGGTGTATTGACATGTTTCTCTATACCTGTGTGGCCTATAGGCTATTATAGTACTTACACCTACCTATCATACGCATACCTATCATAAATTGTAATTTGGCTATAAATATTAAATAATATACCTTATAATTGGATACCTGTTACTTTTTTCGTCGATAATTTAGTCAATGTAGCCTGAAGGTACCTACCTATAGCTAATAAATAATAGTATATTAGGTGTTCTAAATTAACCACCGTAGGATATATTTGTTTCGAACGATTTAGCAAGATTAAAGATCTCTTTAGATTTCTTCAATCTGTTCACTGTTGACTGTTGTATACTTTGTACTTACATAATAATTGCACCTTAATTTTTATAGTACAATTTCATATATATATATTATATATATTTATTTTTTTACTTGATAAAATAAAACAACATTAATTGAAAATAGTTAAACAAATCTTAAACACATAGGAACAAATTATATTTTTAAGTCGGGTAAAATTATGATTATTTATAAGCACGCTTAAAAGGTTTTATACTTGGTTGGGGGAAGGGTGAAGGGGAAGGGGAAGGGATTAGGGTAGCCTGCATATGAGAAGATTTATTTTTTCCTAGCATGTGCTAGATGAGGTCGAAGGATGTGACATAATATAGTACCTAGTTGATTACAAAGGATATATGGGAGAACAGTTGGACAAACTCAAGGTGTCAAGCGTTCGAAATCAATTCCTCGTTAGTGTTTTCCTGATAGCAAAATCCCAGGCTCTGACCTCAATATAGCTAAATGGACAGCCCTAAAGTCTAAGCAACCGTGTACGGGTTAAGTTATTAAGTTTATATGAATGGGTGTTAATTATTTCGAATTGTATCTACGATATGAAAATCATATTATTAATTCGAAGCTCTATCGTTTGAGTTAAACATTGTATAATTAAACTATATTACTGAATACTGAGTACTAAAGTTACGTTCTTGTTACTTGAATATTATTACACATTTACATAAATACACAAACCCACACATATAGTATATATTATAATATTGCAATGTTGCGTGCATAGCGAATTTCAAAGTTATATGATATATATATTATATTATAGTGATTAGATTTTGAGATTCCCATCATTATAAATATTAAATTTAGTAAGTATACAGTTAATACCTGAATTATATGATGCAAATTAATTACTCATTAATTGACTTAATATTTTTCTCATGTTGAAATAATATGACGTGTAAGATAATGGCCATAAAGAAAAATCTTATTCTATTATTTGATATATTATTGAGTATGTAGGAAAATAGTACAATTAGATAGATATGTCATATGTGTACAAAAAAAAAAAAATAATATTATTATGTTCAAATTATATTATAACTTTGAACATTTTAAGCTTCATTTTTAAAAATTTAGGCCATGGTTTATTTTCTGCGTTTCTCGTTCGGCACTATTTTTTACTATACGACTAAAATAATTTCATAATTGCTCTACAAATGCCCTCAACAGCGGCAGACAGTGGGCGAGTTACTGTAATTTCGTATTGGGAAATTACGTTTATACATTTTAGAATCCATGTACAGACAAAAACGAGTCGCCTTAAACTTTAGTTCAACATATAATACCAACTAATTATTTCAAATGACGTCGTGCATTAGTAAAAACAGAAGCCTGCAGGATACGTAGGTGTACGACACTATACTCAGTATAGGTAGGTACTTATACCACGTATATACAGGTATTATTATTGGATTAGAGAATAGTAAGGGTCGTCGGTGTCGTAATTAAATTTGCAAGCGTTGAAACGAGTCGCTTATACTACAGCAGTTTTCATTACACTACGGTGACTTGGTACAATTTGTCAGATTACATTTTACAAGCCTCCGAATATTGTCACATAATTTGATATAAGATAACGTGTGTTGAGTGTTCTCATTATATAGGTGGGTAGGTATTATAAATAGGTCATATATTTAGATACAATAGCTATTAGCAAGGCATATTATGTTTAGGCTTTAGATCCCATGATGGGCGATAATTGGTCGGTGACGCGTTGTTAACCTATTATAACGTCACCTGTTACTTAATGGTAAATTATTATGTCACTTAGAAATATTTATTCGAACAAAACGTGGTAAGAAAATACAATTTTTCACAGAATTCACATTTTTAGAGCAGCAAAAATCGGATTATATAAAAAAGCTTTATAAAGAGTATTATTTTGTTTAACCGAGGAATATTTTTACGATTTTTTTACTTAGTACATTATCAGTCGCAGCAAAATTCACTGGTTTTTATTTTATTTTAGTAGGTACCTACCGACTTTATAAAATATACGATGTAATTTTTTTTAAAGTCATGCTTCTTTAAATTGAACAATTTTAAAATGTGCAATATATTTTGTTATAATTTGTGTCATTGAATAATAAATAATTATCAATTACCCAATATCAAATCAACCCTTTACCTATACCGACCAAATATTATATGTGTGGCTTAAACCAGTTAAACCGTAGCTAACACATATAGACGATAGGATAGCCGTCACCATAGGCGCAATTTCAACTTTTGACTGGGGGGGGGGGGGCTGAATATATTAAAGGCAGGCAGACCATTGCAATATAGCATTTTAAAATTGTATGTGCTAGGTTTTTTTTTTGGGGGGGGCTACGAATAAGTTTGGGGAGGCTTAGCCCCCCCCCCCCAATTTGCGGATATGGCCGTCACTGGTAGACGACAAGACTTAACAAATCATTAAATTCAAATTAAAGTTACTAAAACTTTTGATGCTATCAACGTGTTTGATAAAACAAATTCACTTGTTACAGATAACATGCGGTTAACAATAAGTCTGTTAGCTGTGTTGATAGCGTGCATGGTGCGTGCGACGTATAATTTGGAATGCGAACAAAATCAAAATGGACAGTCCATGAGCTTCTTTAAGACGAATGGTGATCTTCTGTTAACTGGTAAATTAATTGTATAAACTATTTTAAATTAAGAACACGTGTCTAATTTTACGTGTTCCAGGTTTCTTCGACGTCTACGACGAGAAATGTTCGGGCCCCACGTCAACAGGTATCCATTCAATGGAAATGGTAGCCACCGTTGTGCAAATACTAAATTCGATTCATTATATCCCTGGCATCACATTGGGTATGTAAAAAAATATGTAACAATATACAATTATGAATGGTACCTAATCGTTAATATTATCATAACAAATCATAGTCAATTGCATTGGCGTATAGCTAGACATTTTGTATGGGGTGGCGAGGCTAAGTTCCATTAAAAAATCCCTATCAAACTTTCCTTAATTTACACTTTTTATAAATTTTTTTTTTTAATATAATAGCTTAAATAAACACGGTTGGTCAATGCGGGAGCCACCTTATTATCTAAGCCACTGGTCCATTGATATCATTAATATAGTTAGGTAGGTAATTTCTTAATAAATAATTTAGTCATTCGTTATATGGTTGCTGATGTCTTTAGTTCTCATCCGAATTTTTAATTCTTCTGAAAAACACTCATATTCAACTTAAATGTTCTGCATTCGTGAACACGATTATTGACACACTAGGTTAAATTAATTTAAAGCAGCCTGAACATTGAATGTTTGTGTCACCCATTGAAACGATAAGCCGTTACCCCCTAATCAAGATTTTCTTCCAGCGACTTCATACAAATATACTTATATACGTAATACATAATATATCCGGCAGACTTGGCAATCCAAATGGTTCTCGTCTCATTTAAACCTCTATACAACACTAAATATTACGTACCTACACGTTATATATGACGTATAGAAAATTATGTTATACAATAATATTCCTTTGCTCGTAGTTCAGCGTCTTGATTATATAGTATTTATAAGTTGAATCGTCGTTAGTCGCTACTATCATGTTTCAGATCAGTCATCAGACCATAATCTCTTCCTTTTCCATTAATTTATAATCGTTTTGAAATTTGAATTTCGCACAAACCATCGCACTATTAATAATTAGCTATGCGATATAATCCAAAATTACTGTCCTAATACTTAGCTCCCAATCTTTGAACGTATTCCGCTTTCGGATAGGTTGAATACTTGAATTCTATGACTAAAGTAATATAACTGACAGTTATAAATATGCATTTGTTAGATACCCATACTGAATGATTCCGCGTAGGGTAGGTGTAACATGATGTATGCAAGTGGTTATACTTGTATACAACGATTAACTTTCGTCACTTACGTGTTTTCCAAAAACTTACGTTAAATATGGTACTAATCAGTGAGGTAAAATATATATTTTTTTACTTTTAATTCATTAATTTTAGTTACAAACGCACAAATACACATAGTAAGTATGTGGATAATCATCTTAATAAATAATATGCAAAATAAATTAAAGATTTTTGTATTTTTACTACCTACCTAACTAATAGTGCATTAGTGCCTATGTTTTTGTTTGATTTGAATACTCAATATATTGTGTCGGATTATGTACAATAAGTGTTTCCAAATTGATTAAAACAAATTAAATGATTTTTATGAGATAAATGTAATTCAATTTCTGCATGTTTGCGTAAACACATTATGAAATTCTATTAAACATATAAATTGTATTCCTGTATCGTTGATAGTAAAATGTTGTTGGAATAATGTAATTGTATTATATTATGCCAATAATACAATTACGACCACACGATGAGTCACATAATAATAATAATAATAATAATAATAATCATAACCATACTCATGGCTTTTAATAGAATAACAGTCAAAATATTCTGTAACAAACTTAGATAAAATATAATATATATATTATATATATATGTAATATACATTATAGGTAACCATAATTTATATGGCTCTATAACAATATAATAACATAATTTATTGGACTACACGATACTTATTAATTGTAGGTATATGAAAAATGTTAATGGTGGTAGGTAAAATTTTAAAAATGATTTCTCACTAGAGAATATACTTCTTAACTAGAGATATATAATATATATTGATGATTTCCATTCAGCGTATATGTAATTAGGAAACAATAAATCGTATATCTTTTAATTTTCTAAGTAGTGCAATAATATTAGCTCTGCGGTGTTTGAAATTCAATAGGTACACACAATAAACAGTTTAAATCCATAGCAGTGCAGGTTGTTTCGAGAGAGGTGATTTTGATCCCTCCATTGAAGTTTTGTCTAAGCCACTATTATTGATCTATAGCCAGTAGGTACTGTTTAATTTATATTTTAAGTCTCAGGACTCAGGTGCACGACTACGCATCAAAGCTTCTAATTAAAAGATTTACTATATAAATACGCTGTCGTAAATTATTTAAAATATGTTTGCGTTTTAACAAATTTTCGTTTTTTCGTCTATTTTATCAGGATTAACTTTGTACGAAGTGTGTTCGTATCGGAGTTCAGATCTCCAAAAAGCATTGATATCGTTCGTCGTCGACAAAGACTGCAATAACTCGACAATACCGATTGGTAATTATTTTAATATGTGCTGTTGTTATTATGGATTCGACGAGTGATGATAACCACGAAAGAAAAACTTTTATTTTTCAAATTACATTTTAGCCATATACACTACCGAAGACATACGAGCCAAAATCAGTCCGTCGATTGGTTTGAACATACCCATCGTAACGGCAGGACCTATTATCGACGTGGACATCCATGCCGAAGCAGCCGTTAAGTTCTTAACCGTCAACGATATTAGCGTCGCTGACGTATTAATTGCGCAGGATCTGGACGTCGCTCAGAGGTTCGAAAGTGTGGCCAAAGACAACGGATTGTGTTTGAACAGGACGGTCTTGGCTCATAACTTTGGGTAATTATACCGTACATTATATACCCATATACGCAGCGAATTCGACATTTTATTTCATATTATTTTTGGTGTTTTACTTGCAAAACGGTTGTTTTAGGAATTTGAACGACTCCCTAGTGGTCATCGTCATGACGAACAAGAATGTCATTAAATCAATTATAGAGTCGTCATCGACCGTCCGTGTATCTCATTTCATTATAATACCACTGGACGGACCGTTACCGCCCAAACCAGGTATTTGTTCGAACGAAAGATAACCGCTATCAAAGCGATTTATGGTTTAAATCACGGTATTCTTGCAATTTCAGACTTCGTGTTCGGCTCATACGTGTTTCAAGCGTACGGCAGCTGCCCGTTCGTCAACAGCAACAACAGCAACAACAACAACAACAACAGCGGTGACGTCACCGCGGCCCCGGAACAGCTGCAGGCGGTGTCCACGCAGTTCGTGCAGACGGCCGTGGACGTGCTGCGCGCGGTGGACGCGTACACCGGGAACGTGGACGACGGCAGCGTGGACGACGAGTGCGGCCGGAACTCGTCCGCGGGACAGTGCGGCCCGGCGGCGGAAAACCAGACGGCCGCTGGTAGTTACGGCGTGGAGACTGTGGGTCGAGTGCTGGACAGGCTGTTGTTGCTGGACGGCAGCGGCGGCGAGTATAACGTCACGCTGGTGCACGTGACCGAATACGGCGGCGGTGGTCAGACGGTCGGTGGTTACGCACAGGACTCTAACGGCACGCGCCGGTTGTGGTTGCAGAAGGACGACACCGGCGGCAGTGGTCAGCAACCGCGGTACTTGAGCAAGTGCGAGGCGGACGGATCGTGTCCGACGTGCCAGTTGCGGCCCACGCCGACGGCCACGCCCGCGTCGTACGGATTGCTTTCGGTGACTTGGAAGGAGGACGTGTGGATAGCGTCCACGCTGACCGTGTCGGCGGTGGGCGCCATATGCGCCGCGTGCATAGCGGCGTTCGTGCTGGTGCGCGTGTGCAAGAAGGACGTGATGGAGGGCAACCCGACGTTCTCTTTCGTGCTGGTGGCCGGCACGCTGCTCATGTACGCCAGCGCCGTGCCGTTCGCGGTGCACGACAGCGCCGCCGGTTGGCCGCGGCAAACCGTGTGCTACGCCAAGCTGTTCGGCGCTTCGGGCAGCTGCGCGTTCGTGTTCTCCGCCATGCTAGCCCGGAGCCTGATGATCGCCGCGTGCGACTGCGATTCGAGCTTCATGAGCCACGTCAACGGCTACCTGCAGACGTCCCTGTTCGCGTTCACCGTGGGCGTGCAGCTGGCGCTCATGCTTCAGTTCGCGGCCATACACGCCGCCGTTGTGCCGTCGTCCGACCTGTGCCGGGTGTTCGTCGACGGTCCCCTGTTTTTGGGCTCCATGTCCTACGACGCGCTGCTGCTGGTGCTCCTGTGCGTCACGTCGCCGTTCGTGTTCCGGTCGAAGCGCAACTACCGGGAGGGCGCGTGCTTCGCCATCGCCACTTACCTGGTGTTCGCCGTCTGGCTGTGTTGGACCACGGCGTACGCCGTCCTGCCCAGGCAGTGGTCCGACATGTGCGCAATGGTTGGCCTGACGGCCACCGCGACCGTGATCGTGGTCACCGTGTTCATACCACGCACGTACATGATGATGTTCGGTATCGTCCGCGAACAGATCACCAGTTCGCTGCCGTCGCTCGGCTACGGTCACGGCGGCGGTGGCTGCGGCGGCGCCAGCATCACGGACGTCAACTACAGGTCCACGCAGGCCCTGTACGATTCGGTCCACGTGGCCGCCCCCAAGTGCCAGTCGTCCAGTTTCAAAGGCCAGTCCAACCCCAACTACTACTCGCCGGCGGGGTCGCATATACATTCGATCCCCAGGAGCCGACCACTGACTCCGGTCGACGAGTACGACTCACCCCCATCGATCGACAACAGGATAACCAGATTCTAATATCCTCTGCTCCCCTCGTCAGGTTGTCCGGTGACGAAGTTTGTCCGATTTCCACTATAAATATTATTGATCCCGATGTAGGTCTAAAAACATTACACCGCCATCCACCGACCACGACGATGAACGACAATATTACCTACATATTAATAATTCATTATTTTGACCTGTCCCATTGTTCGTTTTTTAATTTTTTATTAGCTAACCTCATCGATAATATTATTATTATACCCTAGGTAATAGTATAACTATATACTATTACCAATATATAAAGGGTGGAGCCCGGAATTTCAAATGAATTATGCACTCAGTACATTTACTCCCTTCACTCAAGTCATCTTGTACTTGTATGTATCCTAGTTTATGTTTATTACTTAGTGTATTATTGGATATAAATTGTAAATATTCTCAGTAACAAAAAAAAAAATCAAACTTTGATAAAAAATGTAAACTATTTAATTTCAAGTTTATGAAACGATGAAATGTTCATGCAATTATCTATAAATATGTAACTTATATAAAAATATGAAGAAAAACAATGAACCAATAGGATCTACGCGACTAAATGCATTACAAAACGCCGAAAAAAATTAATTAAAACTATATAATTCTAAGTCAAGTGTAAAAAATTATGCATTTACATAATAACATACAAATCTGGGACCTACTGGCTAATATTATAGTACTACCTATATCGTAACATCATTAATTTGTCAAGATATTGTCTGCTTTTAAAATGTACACCATATAATTATTATCTAGTTTATAAGTATCTACTAATTAGATAATTGTCTCATTGACTTTGTATAGTTACCTACTATATCTATAGTTCCCTATACCCTAGTTCTCGTTGTAATATGACTCCTCCTGCCAGATAATCAATGATGAATTGTATAGTTTGTATGCGTAGTTGATTGGTCCGGTTAATATAGACAATTAGTAATTATTTAAAAATTGTTATTATTAATGTTATTTTTAACTCAATATTATGAAACTATTAAAAAAACAATCACTAAATATTGATATTCTGAGTAGTGAGTACCAAATGACCAGATAAATAAAATAGTGTTGGTCTTTAATATAACTGTACATAATATAATAAATTAATATATTTATATCGATTCGTTTTAATCGAAATAGAATAAATCGATCTAGAAAAAATTTTTATTTTTGCAACTCTTGCTCGACATATTTTTACCAATCCAGTGTCCACTATGGTCAAGGTAAATCGATCGCTATACACTCTCTCGGACTGTTTAAATCTAAAATAATTGTCGAAAGTTATGAAAATCCACCCCTAATAATTATTTAGGACAAATCAGCTACATATACATTTTACTTATATATTTTGTTACAATATAATATGATTAGGAGAACATTTCTTTAATCTTTTTATAGTTATTTAGACGCCGCGTATTATAGCCAGTACAATATATCCCATATAGGTACAAATAATAAAAAAAACCCATATAAATATTAAAATTGGACAATTTATTTACCTATGTGATGTGAGATCGTCGATGATAGTCGATGGATTATACCTAGATAAGATTTATGATGGATAACATAACATTTTAATCTATTATAATATAATAATATGTTTGTTTTCATAAATCGTCTCTGTAGTTATTGTTTTTGACGTTTTATATATCAAAGTAATCCTCGAAAGTAATGAAATAAATACATTTTCGTGAGTTAAGTTAATTTATTTATAAATGAGATATAGGACTAACCTCTATGTATACGGTGACAGGAACTAAATTGGACGAGAAAATTGATGACATTTTGTCTGGTAAGGCATTTTGGGAGGACAATAAGGAACTCGGGTTTCACTGCGTTGTGTTGAAAGTAAAATACAATTAAATGAGGTATGTCAAGGGTTACCGATTATCTCGTTAGTCGTTTGTGAATAGGGTATGGAAAAGAGAGTCATTAGGGGGGAAGGGAAGAGAGCTAGTTTATATAAATGGATTAAAAAATGAATACCTAGCTTATTCGAGTGCGCGGAATATAGTTTTCAGAGTTTTCTGAAAGATTCAAATCTAAATAAAATTCGATATAAAAATAATACACATTTTTTATTTCAGATAACGTTTTTAATTAATGTCTCGAAATATACACCAACAAAATTAATGCAATATCGCTATACGATCTGCACCTGCAGGTGTCCAGGTAATGACTTTAAAATGTATATTATTATACATTTTTTATTAATCATATTTTTCTTTACCATACCTATTCAACATAATATTTTTAAATGGATATGTTTAAAGAAATGAGGACGTCATGATTTAACTCATTTCGAATGATTTGTTCATGTGTGACTAACATTTAACAGTTGAAAATAACTATCGATCTCATGTTGGATACTATTATTTTATGTTTTTAGATTAAGGTAGTATAGGCATTAAAACAAAATATAAATTAAATACACATTGGAAAGGTGTAGAGATTATAAATTAATTCTGATATTGTAATAGTTAAATAATAACAGTATACCCATTGTAAGGGGTTTAAACTTTTTTTTTGCCACGAATTACAACACAGTTAGGTTCCTATTTTATATATGTTGGTTAATCTGTATAACTACCTAACGGCTTAAAAGTTATTTTACATAATATACAAAAAATATTCATGTTATTTAATAAGAAGCTATTAAGTAATTCACATTTAAATTAGTTAGATTTTACTTCTAAAGTTCTAACGCATATGAATACTTAATTCAAAAAATAAATTTTAACTTGTAATGCAATGGATTTTTCTAGATACTCTTTTCGTCAAAAACTCACCAAATGGGACAAGATAACTTCAACAGTTTTTTGTTGAAAGTTGTAACCTTTTGTGTTATCTCAGAACATTCGCTTACCTATATAACTTAGTAATGTAAACATAATACTAAAATAATCAATACCTAGTGGAAAATTATTACAAAACTATAAAATAATACTTATTATGCTTTATGTTTATTATTAATAAGTAGGTAATAACTAACAATTTCAATTATTTTCATCCATTTCATCGAGTTTTGTGTAAGCGATAGGTTTGTTAAAGAATGATACAACACTTGTGGACTTATAATTGGGAATAAATGTATCATTGTTAATCTGAAAAAATAAATAAAAAATGATTAGTGCATAATGTTTGAATACTGTCGTCTATCCAAAGATACTATTGTCCGTACCTTCTCTGTTTTTTCGTTCGAAACTTTACTTAAAAACACTAACAGGCCGCAATAAGATATGTTTATGATGCCTACAGTTCTCATCAACCACGGGAATCCAACACTTTTAACGACTTGACCGCCGAAAATAGGACCTTAAATCATAAATTACAGTAGGTACATGTGTAAACAAATATTATGTACATAAGATAAGTACACGTTTAAAACAATATATAGATATAGGTACATAACACAATATTATAATATTTTCTATGATACGTAGTGAGACCATATTAACACAATTTTAAAAAGGAATATAGAAAAGTAATTACTCAATACTATTAATTAATCCAATTAGGTCTTATATTATTTAAACAAAAAAAAAAATGTAATGTATTATCGTGTCATCATGAATACTTACCAACGGAATATGCTAGACTGACGGCCGTTTGTTGAAGTGCGTATACCGATCCGTAATGTACGTTTGGATGTCTGGTGTCCACTAGATTTGCCAACATGGGGACCAGAGCAGAGTCTACTATTCCTATTCCCAGGCCCAGACCAAAGTGTGGGCAAACAAGCCCTATTGTCGTCGTGGCAGCCGGAATCTTTTAAAACATAATGTCATTGGGATGATAAAAATATTCAATATATAATGCGGTATCAGTTATTATTATCTATTAGTACCTCTAGGTACCCATTTCACTAACACGCCGGTCGCAGGTGTAATAATTGTAAACCATTGAATTAATTATGACGAACAACTCACCATAATCGCGGATATGCCGACTAGCAGAGTTGCTAATACTGCCATTCTCCATTGTCCCATTGTGTACGACAATGTGCCAAAGAAATTCGTGCCAATCAAATAGCCAAGACTATCTGGAATGAAAACCGTACCCAACTGCCATTTCTGAAATAACGACAACGGTATAATGGTATCTAAGGTTTTCATCGAGTTCATTAATTTACTTCTGGGTTTATAATTTGTATGAGCCAAATTGGTAAAAACGGTTCCAAAATAGCCATGGCAGATGACGTTAGACAAATAGAAAAAATGATTAACAGGATATACCCATCTTTTAGGAGATCTTTCCAGTTGCCATTGTTAAAGTGAGACTATTGACAACAGAAATGTTCAAATAAAAAACACATTTACCCAGTAGATTTTAACTAGGTACTTGTAATACTTAAATGTTGGTATACAAAAAACTAGACATATTTTGATTTAAGATACGATAGTAAAATACAATACAATAATGTGATTATCATATCCTAAAATCAATGTATAAGACAATTTAATTATTTGTATACACAATAACTAAATTATTAAATACCTGATGTTTATCATTATTTGTTTGTTTTAATTGCAATATCTCCTTGAATGAATTTACCTAGTGTATAAAACAATGGAAAAGTTAGATACATTGATAAAATAAAAATTGTTAATCAACAAAATCATGTCTATGTTTGACTATATATATATATATATATTAGATAATTTTACTTATATATTAAATTGTACATAAATTTACTATCTGAACTTCGAGATTAACCAAAGTTGTCAAATAAGATATCGAGAGAAATAGTTAGGTACGTAAGTACAATAAAGATAAAAATTAATATATAAGACCATGGAATCGTAGTTATCAAGATGGAGATTAACTAAACTCTGAAGCGAAGACGAATGATCATTTGTTATATCTGTATAAGAAATTAAATAGAAGAAGAGGAAGAAGAAAAAGCTCAAGAATTTGGCAAAGGAATATAAAATGTTATTTTCGGAGGACACAAAGCTGGGGCACGGTTTATAGGTTAAACTAGATGATAAATGAGGAAACAGGTAGTTGAGATAATGAGAATAAATGAAAGCGGAATGTTTCTATAGGTAAGTGAGAGAAAAACAATATATATTTAGTTGTTTAAAAATAAAACCTTTTCGGTTCAAAAATATATTAATTAAGTGTTGAATAGATAGAAAAATATGTCATTATAGAATAACCGATTTGTGTGTTTTAACGACAAAATTAGAAACTTAATTATTGTTTATAGTAAGTACGAGAACGCGATTGATGAAAATTGAAACCTGAAATTAACAATTTTGTAACAAAACGTTTTAATTTAAGTAGGTCATCTATACTACGATGTATTTTTTAAATGACGAAATCATTTTCAGTTAATGTATCAATGTATTGTGTTCTTATAATCTTATGTTTGCATCATATTATATAAGCATAGGTATTGAATATCTATGAAATTAAATACGTATCTTATTTATATTTGATGTATATATTATTTTTATGATAGAGTAGGTATGATAATAGGGAGGTATTAGATACTATTATATTTTATATATATTTATAGATTTTACTATGTTTTCAAAATATTTTATTTTAGAAATAATTATATACTATGTAAAATACTTACTTTTTGTATGAGATTAAAATTAAAAACATAAAGTTGTAGACCTGAAAAATAAAATATTTGTACAGTGATCTCTATAAATTGTATGTGTATCCGTAGTCTTAAAAATAAATTTTTCAAATTCAAATTGAGTTTTAAAAAAAATTTAATTATTTGAGCTTTAAAACTTGTATAATATAATTTATATATAATATATTAAATATTAACCGTTTAAAGGCTTAAAACAATTTTAGTAGGTCCATTTCAGTATTACAGTTTGTTCTAACTTTAAATACCTACTACATATTTTAAATACCTAATAAAGTTATTTGAAATTTGTTTAATCACATCTAGGTATACTTAAATACATAGATGTAGTACTTACATATAATACAATTGATTGATTTTTCAAAACTTAAATAAACTGAATTTTAAATATGGAACGACTTACACTTAGACATTTTTTCAGAGCTGTCTAATTGAAAATCGTTTTCCGAAATATTAAAATTACCTATTAACTTCAGCTATTACTAGTTAACCCTAGGTCTTTTAACGGTTTTTATTATTAATAAATATTATTTCTACACTTTTGTATATAACTCACTTACTCACCTAAATTGAATGTTATGGCACATATTATTACATTAAATGGTGTCGACTTGTCAACAAAATAATAAAGTATGCCACCAAATGGATAACCGACCAAAACGCCTAAGGCAATGCTTCCCATGACTAGACCCATTACTTTACTGCGTCTTAAATCTGACATATGATTTTGATCAGCAATTAAACACATACCTGGAATATAATTTGTTATATAGGTATCCAATGTATTTATGTTTACTTAGTAGCAAGGTATACCAGAAACACTGATCAATGCTGAAGCAGTGCCTTGAAGACTTCTAGCAACCAGTAATGAAACGAAAGTCTCTCCATACGCAAACACTGCATTTTGAAAAAAATAAATAGTTAGATACACTATAAGCAGTAACTTGGTCATTATTTGCCAATTAATAAATTGGTTAATATATTTGAACAAATAACTATAAGTCATTATTATAAACATTTTTGCAATATATTTTTCGGTAGTTTATACATATCATATTGGTACTCGAAATTAAAAATGTTAGTTTTCTTCAAAAAACAATACATATTTTATAATTTTTTATATTTGTATTATGTTGTTTATATTTAAATTTATATTATATAATAATATGATATACTATAATATTATAATGTATTTTGGTATGTTTATTATTTTGTAAAAATAACTCATTAAGTTATAAACTTTTTTCTTCATAAAATTGAATCTCGAATTGAACACCTTGTATTGCTTAATTGTATTAAATATATTTAAAATATAATTTAAGTATGAAGTAAATTATTAATTAATTATTATGGATCAAACAATAATATTGTATTATTGTTATTATCATATATCAATATTTTTAATGATAAAAAAAATGTTTTATTAGGTCTGAAGATTTTTAAATTTATAAATGAACGAAATATATTTTTATAAGACTTAGGTATTATTATAATAATATATAACTATTGTTATTCAATTATTGTATTATTGTTGTGACGTCATTATTGTTGATGTGATCAGCTATAAATACATATTTTGTTTTGTATTAATTACCTTTCAGATATTGTGTTGATTGTAAATTACGAAGTCTATATTATACATATATTATAAATTACATTAATTTAATATAAATTACTTACAAACTGATATTACAATCAAAAGAATTGATCCAAGAAATATTGGTAAGTTGTACCCGACGTATGATGTTAAAATGCCCACCAAAGGATTCATAAACAACTGGACTATAGCTTTTGAAGACAACAAGGCGCCTATTGCCTCGTTTTCATTTTCCAGTGTTTGCAATTTCATTTTGATCAATGAACTAAATTTATTTCAAATCGTCATGGTACAAAATAAATATCAAATAAAACGTAAACCATTATATTACCTAGGAAGAAGCGGTTGATCTATTCTAGTTACATTAGTTACAAAATTCGTTGTATTGGTGATCCATTGTATGTATAAATGTTCAGGAATAATTGGCACTGTAATACATTTTACTTGGATTAAATATGTATATAGATTTAAGTTGTATAAATAACTTAAACATATATTTCTTAAATACTATACGAAAAATAATTCTGTAGGTACAAATAGAATTCATATTATAGCGTTATAGGTAAAAAAATTCAATTTTGAATGTTACTATTTTCCAACAAATTTATAAGACAGTAAGTTTTGTTATAAATTTATTACAATCATTGATTCGGTAAAAACTGAAATACCATAATATAAAAAGTTATTTTACTCAAATATATTATTTTGAAGAATTGTTTTTTTTTCAAAAAAAAAAAATAAATAAAAACAATATGCTTAAAACTTGTTTGAAGATTCAAATACTCTATATATGTAGTAGGTATATGGCTGTGTTCTACATTAAATGTAAGATATAATATAATACAATATATATTTTAAAATTAAATTATGATAACTGATTTAGTTGAGTTCAAACTACGTGCCAACGAAACTGATGTTAAATAATTCAAAATTTAAACAATTTCATAACATCTATTCATTGATTTGAGAGTCTACTTTATTATGCATTTTGAATAATTGTTTTTAAATTGAATGCTAAAAAAGTATTAGCTATAATAATTATTTCAGATTCAAAGCGAAGTTTGTTAAAATTAAAATTAACTACCTACAACATCAATTATTATATGATTTTTTTTTAATGTGCATTTTTTTTTTTTATTATGAATATTTTTCTTTGAATAAATATTATGAAGTTGTGTTGGACAAAAACACAATATTTTCTTTTACGCCGCGGATATTCAAAACGCAAGTGTATGTTATACTTTGGTACGAATATATTTATACATATGTATTATAGTGTTTATTGCTAACTACATAAGAACATAATATTATTTATATTATCTCACCAACAACAGTCAAAAGTACATTGTCCAAAAACATTGATAAGTAGACAACGGAGATCACACCCAAATCGCTTTCCATAAACTGTGATAAAAATGACCTGTAGATTTTAAATGTTGTTATAAATATAGGTACACACTCTACAGGTAGGTAATGACTTCAATAATGTGAGTTACACTGAAATTTTAACACGACAAATTATTGTCAACTTATAAATAGTCAAAATAGGTACTAACATGTTGAACAAGTTGAACTGAGTTAAAAAAAAAATACAACTAAAATATTCTCACATTAGAGCCCAAGTGTTGCACATAGATCGAACAACATGTAAATGTACTGCTGTATGGTTAAGTGTGCTTAAACTGGGGTTACCTGTTTTCAGAGTTGGTGGAGAAAATGATTTCCTGTCCACTGGACACTGCGTTGTCGTGGTAACATTCAATTTTATCGTCACACATGCTATTTAACGTTACGTTTTTTTTTATCTTTTGTCAACACCAATGGGTTTTGAATTTAGTACCTAAAAAGTAAAACAATCATATCAGTATACGTTTACTGGTTACTGATCTCTGAACTTAATTTTTTTTTTATTATCTCGGTGTACAACAGTTCACGATTTTAGATAATCAATAGTTTTGTTTACGTAATACTATTGTTGTCTTTGTTTTCGGTAATATAGGCCATTACAATAATTGAACCACTGTCATTCGTACACGGAGACAATTTATAATTTACGTCTCAAAAAGTGGAAAAAATTTATATTTTGATTTTTTTTTTTTATTGTGATATTTTTGTAGTTTAATCAATTTATAACTTTACTAAAAAGTTCCTACCTATTTCAAAATGTCAAGAAGCAACGAATGTTATGACTATTTGTTTAAATATATTGTGGTGGGAGACGCGGGTAAGTAGGTACTAAATTATACCAATGGCGATACTTAGCCACTTAGGTACTATTATAATATAAGCTTTTAGTATTGTATTTTATTTAAATTGTCTACTAAGTGGTGTGAATAGACACCTCCTTCAAACGTGCGAAAAACGACATTATAATATTACCAAGGTATTAAAATTGTAATTCTATATTTTTATTTTAATACACATTTTATGACTTTTGTCTAATAATAATAATAACAAAATAAATTGTGCGATTTTAAATTTATACATTTTTTAATGCATGCTGTCTATGTGATAATTATTTTTATTCAAATAATTCTATTATGTGTTTCAGGTGTGGGGAAGACGTGTATTACTAGACAATTCTTATACCATGAGTTTGATTCTAAAGAGCTGACTACCATAGGTATACATTTATATAATAATTATTCTATTGTAAGCATTTTACCTTCGACAATACACGGGTGATTTATAATTATGTAATATAATAATATGCAGGTGCCTATGTTTTATATTTTTTTGAGAGAAGTTTTATTTTTTGTTTTATGTGCAAATTAATGTAAAATAATCTAAAAAAATATCTCATCTTATGCGTATACTTTTGAATAATAACTCTGTCAAAATGTAAAATAAACTTATAGAAAAAAACTGGAGCAGTCATCCTGCTGAAAAGTTGCTGTCGAGTTTCACTAGTAGTTACTGAGTAGGTGACTGCATTGGGGGTGTGTTAAATTCAAATTCAATGATAAATCATTGTAGACGTAAAACAATATTATAAGCGGAGACGATCTGTCAGCTGATATTTTTAAGGATTTTTTTTTCTATATTTGTATTGCTTTAAGTAATTTATTTTTTCATTGGTTTCTAATAAAGTAGGTGAAATTAATTTTTTCAAAAGCAAATCGCATAAAATAACATTGTGTATTATTATATTATTTTATACTGGCTGATCCTGCACAATGTAGTCCGTGAAAAATTAAATAATGTCAGTGGATTTTCGCCCTGTCTTAAACTCGGTTAAATGTAAATAACACATATTTTTAACACATTGATTTGGGTAGTTTTAATCAAATATAAAATACAGGTATAAAATTATATCCATTAACTATACAAACGAAAAAATATTCTATTTTTTTGAACCCCTGCTTAAAATTAAAAGTTAAAATAATTGGCCTCAAGGTGCAGATTTTTGGGTAAAGATTACCTATGTATACCAAATTGTAGAACTACGAATGCGATAGACTTGGCTGTGGATCGCTAACACATACACACGCAAACATTGCCGTTTATTAATAATAAGATAATATTATTAGCTGTTATGAACTTGTAAGTCAGTACCAGAGAACCTTAGATGGGTGTAAATAGGTTGGTGGTGTAAATAGCTTAAAATTAATCCAAATACTTTGAAAATTACATTGTGTATAGTAAATTATATTATACGTAATGGTATAAAGTTTAAAGTTCCTATGAATAATGTCTATTGAATTAGGTACAAAAAGATAACTTAAGCCATTATTTTACGTTTAAACATCTAATTTTGTTGAAATTTAAACTTGAAATGTCTATTAAACAAACTGCGGCTGCCTATGTAAATTTGAGATTTATGGGTTTCTGTAAGAAAAACTGAAATTATTAGCTATTAAATGTTAATGTATCATCGGTATTATACATTTATAGGTATATTAAAATTGTACATTTTATACATTTTTAACTACGTAATAATATTTTGCAAATATTCGCATTTTTTTAAATTTATTTTGTTTTAAAAATTGTGTCCATGTATTTTTGATGATTGTTAAATTTGGTATGTAGAAGGTAGTACTGATGAGGAATCTTATATTAAAACAAAAATGTTATCATACATACATTGAAAATAAAACTAAAATAAAAAATAAAACAATCGAAAATCGAAAATATCCATAATAATATCAAAAATAATTTCGTAATTATGTCATGTCTAGTTAATGTCTCAACAAAACGTGCAGATAGTAACAAAAGACACACATTAATAATAATTGTCATATCACTGTATAACCCAATATCGCTCCTCCTAGAATCCAAAGTACAAACATTTTTTTTCTATTATTATTATTGATTTATATCAGTATATATACCTACCTACTATTTTGTTATGATCTGGCTGACATTATTTATGGCACATTTTCAGTTATATTATGAAAATATCATAACATGGTATGTGCGCGTATAATAAGATTATTATATTATTAAATAATAATTTCTTGTTTTCAATGATTATGTAAATATTATAAAACGTGTTGTTCAAATATTATTACTTTAGGAATAGATTATGGCCACAAGACGTTGTCACTGTATAACAGAAAAATCAAAATAGCTGTGTGGGATACCGCTGGACAAGAAGCGTTCAAGTCCATAGCTAGATCATATTATTCGGGAGCTGCGGCTTGTATATTGGTGTACAATATCACTAAACGCTATTCGTTTCAACACGTCAGTGAATGGTTAAGAGAAGCTCGACTTAACTCTGGCACCAGAATGATGTTCGCGTTAGTGGGCAACAAAACGTAAACAACAAAAATAATTTAATAACTAAACAACTTTAATTAATTTAAGTGAGTTACCTATTTTTAATTAATAATTTCATAAAAGACTGTCATGCGCAACGTTTTGTAAGTGATTCTTTTTTCTTCCCCGTTCATTATCGAGCTCACAACTAAACAGAAATTTGTACAATCCAACCAACTACCCATTGTTTTTTTTAATAATTTATGTTTACTTAGATTATTAGGAACATTTATATCGTTTATATTACATAGAATGTATTATGTATAGTGCAATAGTATATACACCTTATATAACACTATATTATACACTATACACATGTACATTAGCAATGAACAGAAATAATAAGCTTACGTCATGAAGGGATAAATTTGATACAATTTTCAGTGCTTTAAGTTCTGTTTTTGGATTATGTTAGCTATATATAGGTTTACTTATGTTATACGTTAATAATTAATGTTTTATAAATGTTGTAAAATACTTAATATGTTTCTTTTAATGTGTCAATAGTAATAATAATAATAATAATAATAATAAAATGTTTCGTCTTAAGGTTTTTGGTAAGCCGCATGTGGGTGTTATATACTCATATTTGTGTTTTATTATTAAATTTGACACTTTGACAGTTATAAATAACCCTCAGTTTTAAGAAAAGTATTGAGCTGAATTCACACATTCAACTTAAAACCACGTTTGCTTAAATTTTGTTATTTTCTCAACTTTTATTTTATGATTTTTCTTTATACTTATGCAAACTACTCAGAAAAACGAAAACTGATCTTATAGGTTCTCCATAATCGTATTTGCGAAAATGTTCAAAGTAACAACTAGCTTTGATTTCCAATCGATATATTTATAGAAATACATAGTCATATTTTATATTAGACTACTAAAGTACAATGTAGCCTCTATACACGAAATTTATTATATCAGAAAAAAGAATTAATAGAAAAATCAATAAAAATATAAAAACAGAGTAAGACCAATAAGTAAATTGGAGTAAATCCATGCTTTGATAATGGTTTATAAGTTATAACTAGAAACATAATTATTTTATTTACAGAAAATAAATATTAAATTTTCAGGAAGAATGAAATAAATACGTTGATTGAAAGGTTAAAAAATAATATAGGTACCGGCAAATACAATATCTATTTGTTGAACTTTATTATTGGATTTTAATATAATTTGTTGTTATATTACAGTGATTTAGAAAATAATAGAGAAGTAGAACGAGTTGAAGGTGAACGCTTTTCTTGCAAAAATAGCTTATTATTTTTTGAAACTTCGGCCAAAACAGCAAGTAACGTATCAGACGTTTTCGAGGAGTTAGCAAAACATTTATACAAAAAAGTCATGAGCGGTGAAATTGATGTCAATAGACCGGTAAGATTAATTTTAAATTGTTTTGTATGGCTTACTAAAAAATTAATTTCAGAAATGTTTAACTATCATTCATCCATTTATCGTGTATAAAAAATACAAATATTGTATACTTTTTTTTCCTTAAAATTTTAAACTATTGTCCCGCTGTACGATCGGGTAAAGATTTATGAGTCTACTATAGTCTACTATAATATATATACATAGAACACAGTGTGTAATGCGTATCTATGGCTAATAACAATCGATGTTCATAAAATTAAATTATATGGTTTCATTCGGTATTAGTAATTTATAACCTTCTAACTTGTAAGACTTCCAAGAGTTAAGAAGTCTACAACATGTTTTTTTCTACCTACCTACTTAAAATGTTTACACTATTGTTTAAGATAATATGATTTAACTGATTTAAGTATTCTACTTTACCATACAAGGTTTTATTGCATTTATATAAAAATTGAATATTACCTAAAACCACTCGGTATTTCATAGTGGGAGTGGGTGGAGAGATGCCTTTTTCGTAGCTAGGGGTAAAATCGTTTAATAATTTACTCACAACGCGTGCTTTATTTTGAGCCAGTAATACATTTAAAAATATTTCAATAAATGCCCAAAGAGATTAGAGATTGAACGCAAATTGTTCAACTGTGTAATTTATTGAATACATTTAAGTCGTTTTTGCTGAAAACTCGTGAAAAAAACTAATCCAAATAAAGTGACAAAAATCTGTTTTAATAAACATATCATTGATTATTTTTGGGTAAACCGGGCTCCAATTTAAAGGTTAATAATTATCGAAATCAAATTACAAAATATAATAACTTACCTAAATGTACAACATTTATACTGCACCAACGTTTTAACTAACGTTTAACTGGATTGCTGTATAATAGTTGTATACAGATAATACTCATTGATAAGAAAATATTAAAAGTGAAAAAATCTTACTGATTTGGAAGTTTCAATAAATATATGATGAAATTGAAAAATACATTTTTTTTATGACTACAGATATCAGGAGTTAGACTTGGCCGCAAACGCAGCAAATCAGAAATAGTGAAAAATCATGCAAGTGATTGTTGTACGTTTACATAAAATAAAAATAGGTACACAGTATACTAAAACTAAATAGATATTGTTTGTCAAATTATATTTATAACATTTTGTAACATAATATTCTTGATTTTTAATTTTCAATTTCTATCTACTTACTTTACCTAACGTTGTTATTTATTATTTTTTTTGTTTTCCATTATTAGAACTATACATTTTTTTTCAGACGTTCTTAACTATTATTATAAATATAGATATTAGATATCAAAACAATAAAAAATTGACAATTTGTGCACAATAATTCAACCTCAACCACTCCAATAATGGAGAAATATTTATTTTGTTTACCTATCTCAAAAGTTGAATTTATATTATGTCTCTTGGAAGTAAATCTTTTCATACCAAAAAATAATTTTTTTTTTCATAATATTTATTCCCATTTACTTAAATTAACTAAATGTTTATATTTTAAAAATATGATTTTATTACAAATGTAAAACATAATATTTAAAAAAAAATGTATCTATTTATATGAACTTACACTACTTTTTATCTATATGTTCATCAAATATTTAATGAATAATATGTTTAAATATGTTAAACATGTATTATATTTCTTGTAATTTATGATTGGTGAAAACTATCTTTTAATATTATGGTATAAATGTTAGTTCATAATATGTGACTGAAAATCAAAAACATTTATCTAATGAGCACACTTTAATTTATTTTTGAGTTCATAATAATAGATTCAACACATCAAAGAGAAAATATTCAATTTGTATAATTTGAAGTTATGATATTTTTAATTTGTGTTAATACAATTGTTTCTAACATTTATTTTAAGTCATCAGCCAATGCTGTTAAAAGCTTGAAAATGAAATAAATAAAAACTGTAAATAGTTTAAACACTAAATTATATTATATTATAATGTCTATGAATTTCATTACCTATCATCAATTTAGTATGGATTAACAGAGGTAGGTACTGTTAAAGTCAATTTTTTTTGTGTAACGGATTTACAAGATTATATTAAACTGTGTATAAGGTTTTTAATTGCGTTTTGTTCAAAATAGTATGAAAAGTGAATGTTATCGACCTCAATTTATATAAGTGTACTTAATGAAATTACAGGTTATAAAAAATATTTGTATCTTCATTATTAGAAGTATAAAAATGTTTACAATGATCAAACATAAATAATATGTTCTATTATTGTATACTCATTGCTATAAAGTCCGGTGTTTTATGTTTTTATATACTTTTTTTGATGTGCATTTAGAAGAGATTAAACCACGTCAATAAATTATTTCAAACTTAAAATGTACATAAAAAAAACACAAACAACCATATTTTAAAGAATAATGAATATTTAAAAGATTTCTCATATTTTAGAGTATGTTGAAAAATATTTGCGTTAAAAAATGATGTATTCTAACTTCTAAGTAATTGCAATCTACTGCAATTGCTATGAATATAATACATTTTTTACTCTAGTTCGTTATGAATTTTTAATTCTCTGACATTTATTAAAATCAGTTACGTATTGCTATCATTTAGTAACAGTTTTCAGTTCTCAATTACCAACAATAACTAGTTATCAGTTTTATAAAATATAACTGGTAAAGTAGGTAGTAAATAGTCATTATGTATAGTTTTGTTAAGATTTACAATTTATAATTACATCTTTTGTAACCATGATAAATTATATTTTTAATCAGTATAGGTAATTAATAATTTTAATCATCATCATATCAATAGTTCAATAATTTAAATAAAATGTTTGATTTATTAGAAATTATATTCTATTATTTTTTACTAAACAATATATATTATTAGTTTTAAGTTTAAAATTTAAATCCCTTAAAAATATTAGTAAGAAATTAAGGGGTATAATAAGTTATTCAAGTAGAATATTAAAACCTCATTAAATAGAGGGTATTAATTTCTAAATATACGTATGTGTAAATATGTTGTAATGTAAAACAGGAAAATGTTATTAATCTTGGATGAATGAAAGGTATTGTGAGCATGAAAAGGGTTACGATGTTAATTTTTGGTTCTGGTAGGTGCTTTCAAATTATAGGTGGGTATTAGGTATTGTTTATATAAGTTATATTATTTTAGGAGTAACTTTCAAACAGGTACATTTTTAATGTTTTAAAAGGAGAACATGTTTTAAATGATTATATCCCGGGGCCATAATTATATACCTTAGGGCCCCAGTGCAAAAATATTTCGGACAAATATTTTAGGTACCTACTAAATAAAAGAAAAAAAAAGGAAAAGTTTTTTGTTGCGCTCAAAATATTATTTTAATTGCAAACGACTAAAATTTTTGATTATACTGAGTTTTTGCAATAATTACTTTCCGACCTATCTATTTTGAATTTTGATTAAACGTGGTGCCTACTGAGAATATAAAGTTAATAGTCTCATCACCCTTCGTCAATAAACGAGTAGGTATTTTCATATATTGCATTATATAATAAAACCTTCGTTTATAATTTATTTTGTAGATCGATAGATGAATTCGTATTTTGTATAATGAATCGTCCAAATATTAGTCATATTATAATACTATGTCGGATAAGAGTTTCCAAAATCTGAACCCTAAAATATTAGGACTTGAATTTAAAACTATTAACCTATTTTAAGCTTGATGTATTGTAACTTTAATTCAAATTAACATTTAAGAATTTATAGGTAATACTAAAATAACAATAATAAAATATATAATTAAATATTGCAGATAATACCTAAGTATAGAATAAAAACGACAAATTTTTATTGAATTTCAATACATATCATCATAAATCATGAATCTACAATACGCATTTCAATGTGTATATATTAATTACCAATTCAGCTATATTAATGTTTAAACTTAACCACGAGGGATATAACTATATTATATAAGGTACACACAAAAGTTTCTTAAACTCCATATATCACTTTTCCTTCTTGTTGAAACTTGTAATGTTTCGCAATTAGTGAACTACCTATACCTACTTGTACAATATTCGATTATAATATAGTTCTAAGACACATTATCGTTTTATTAGTGTTCCATACTATGCAAAAAAACAAGTGTTTAAGCGTACCCGCGGGTGAATTGAAACTTATTTTGTAGAAATCAAATTAATAACAAAACTAATAATGGTATTTGAAATTCAAATGACTATAAACTGAAGTTAAAATGCATTTCTTTTAAATTTACCGCCACCACGGCAACGTCTGCTTGTTTTAAATTTTGTGACGCTATGAGTCAATCTCACTCTGTCTGGTTCAACATTCATTTTTAACATTTTATTCATATTATACAAATCAAAAGCACTGAAGAAAAAAACAAACGAAACGAATGAGACTAACTATACTGGAAACTAATCAGTAGTCACTAGAGTAATAGATTGCATAATAGAAATTTAAAATTGTTTGCTAGCTATTTTATTTTATAGATATGTTTATTCTTTATGTTGTTAATTACGAAATATTATACGACATATTACTATGTACTTATAAGTGAAATATTTAAGAAAATTAATTTACTTTAAGATATGTAAAAATATTATGTATATAATATGAATCCTTACATTTCAATTTATTTTGAGTGTGACGAATCGTGTTCATTTTTAATCAGAATTTAGAAATCTGCATTCAAAAAATTGTATTTATTTACCTACATAAGAATCCACACCTTAGTCATTATACATACAAAAACCAAAAAAACAAAATAACAAAAGTCAATATTTTAACTTTAAATACTTAAAGAAAGATCACGTGGTTTTACGCCAAACTTTTTTTTTATTTCAGTAAAAACTTTATGAGGAATCTTGAATTTAAATGTTCAAGCCTTAATAATTTTTAGCTATAATAATTCACACAATTTTGTGATTTCGTAATCATTTTTGTACCTAAGTCGCTTATACTGAAAATAAAATCATCTCTGCAAAATGCTAACATAAATAGGTAGGTATTTTATTGTTATTCGTTTTTGAGTTATAACAAAAGTAACAAAATTGATTTTGTTAAAAACTGGGTTTACGTAAATACTCGTATTGTTGTTTTTTTTGTTTTTATTTCTCGATTATTTTGAAAACCACTAGAACATTGTACTCTTGCTCCCTATAGTACAAACTGGATTCAATTTGCTATCGAGAAACCTTTCAATAATAAAAATCGAAGCATTTTTCAACTATAAAAAGGGGAAAGTAGGTAACCGCCAGCTGGAGTCGAGTGTACCGCTTCATTCAGTAGGTCACTGTAATGGATGTGTTAAATTTGAATTCAATGATAAATCGTTGAAAACGAAAAACGATTCTGAGCGGAGATCATCTGTCAGCCTATTACCAAATAAATATGATATTGCTATTCATTACCGTAGCAATTTATTTTCGTATTTATAAAATACATAGTGTATAATATAAAATATAATAATATTATATATACGTCAACATTTCAAACAGCCAAAAAAAATATTCTTGAATTACAACAAAATAACCAAAATCATTATACTTCGTTTAAGTACCTATCTTTTTTTGTCCGAATTCGCACTTCATATATGTTTAAAAAAAAAAAATCAAATTTATCAATTTTTTGATTATCTACTGTATGAACTACTAATAACTTATAAGGAACCAATTTTAAAACTTTTTGACCGAGCGAAAGTTTTCTTGTATCGATATTTATAAACAAAATACATTCATCGATCCGCTATATTATATTATAATTTAAGAACTAAAATAAATCGAATACGTAAAATGTCAATATATATAGCTCAATCTTTAGAAAATGATGAAAATGCTAATAATATAACCATTCGTTGAAAATTTCAAGTATTTACAGTTATTGGTTTTTAGATTTAAACAAAGTAATACGATAATGTGTCGAAAAATGGTTTTCTTCTAGTTTAATCTTCAGACGCTTATAAAAAATATTTGTGGAATTACACTCAGCTTTATTTTTAAATCCAGAAATAATAACTGATTTGAAGGAACCTTGTATTTAATTTCCAATTTTAGGTATGAATATTAGAATTTAA